CCCACGCAGTCCGGGGTGGCTCGGCACCCACTGTTGCTGTCTCTCTCTGTCTCCCCCCGCGGCGTCCTTAGAGCGAGTGGGATGGATTAGCAAATAATCAGAAGAGGATTCCTCGAGCGTGGCCCCCAACGAACAGACGATCGATTTCCGCCAAGAAAGAAGAGAGAGAGGGAGAGAGAGATAGGAGACGGAGAGAGGAGACGGGGGGTGATAGTAACAGAGAGAGAGCGCGTACGGCCGCTACATCGGCCTCGGATATAGGAAACATAGACGAGCGCAACAAAGAAGGGAGATGTAGCGGAAGGGGAGCGCCGTTAAAGGCGTCGGCGAAATTTGTTATTCCAATCGAGGCTGCGCTTTAATATGTTTCGCTACGGGCGACCTTGCAGTGCGCCTCGCAAGTGTACGGTAAAGTGCGCGGTGCGCGCGAGTGCACAGTGCGTCGAGCGAATCCTTATGTCTCGTCCCGAAGGCTCTTCTACTTCTGTCTGGTCTGGTTCAAGGAAGCAGAAGAGCAGAGTAGGGGGCGCTTCCCGGTCCGTCAGCAGGCCACGTGACTGAGCGCCTCGCGACGCGAGCGGGGCAGCAGCGGGGGTGTAAAATCGATGCAGGGCGCTGCCGTCGTTGTCCGAGTCGCGGACCCGTGAAAACGTCATCAAAGCACACGCGCCGTCGCCCGCCCCGCCTCGCCCCACCCAGTCAACCCCTCCCCCGCCAGTCCCCAGCGGCGAATAATCGAGACAAAAGCGCAGAGCACTTGCCGCAGCATCGGCGCGATAATCCACCCGAGCTGCGTCCGAAGCGACCGCGGGGGAAGGCTCGCGCTCAGTGATGTCGCTTTTCGAGCGCCACCCACCCTTCGGCTCCGGTCCGCAAGCGCCGCCGCCGCCGCCCCGTCCGCAAGAATGCCTACGCCGCACGCACGCCCGTGGGGGTGGCTGTCAGTGTGGGGTGGCGGCGGCCGGGTGGGGCGGACCGCAGGGGCGGACACTCCCAAGAAACACGGGAAAACGAGAGGCGTTTATTTCTCCAAAGTTCAAGAAAATATACTTCTTACAATAAAAAGCCAAGCGAAAGGCAGGAGACTGCTTCAGATCTCCAGACGCATTCATTGCATTTGTATGAGTTGTGCGTGAGGGTCCTTCTTGATGAGAACGGAATGGTGACGCCCCTCCTTGACGAAGGAACGGAACCCAATTTCTTCGGTATGAAGGGGCGCACTCCCTCGAGGATCCTCCCCTTGCCCCTCTGTCTCTCTCTTTGCTTTCCGCGCCGGCGACGGCGCACTTGCATCGAAATGACTTTCCTCCGTGCGTCTACCCCGTCCTTCCGTCCGTCTGTCTGTCTGTCTGCTATAATGCTTAAGGGATGGCGAAGAAGGTTGATCCGAGACCTACAGCGAAAGTCATAGCATCCGTTCCGTGTGGCGGAGATATGGAGGGTCCTCGATAGGTCAACCTCGCGCGCCACCCTTTTGAGATTGGTTTGCCCCCTCCCCTCCCCTCTTCTTCTTATTCGCGCCGCACCCTCAGCCACGTGCCGCCGCACCACCCGGTGCACGACCATCGTGTCGCGGTGTAACTCCCCCCACCCCTCCCTCCCCTCCTCCTGCTGCACCTGCTACCTCTCTGCCCCGCGCCACCGCGACCCCTGACCTGCCCCAACGAGTGCACCACGTCGCCGTCCTAGTGAGACGGCCGAAAAGCCAACAGTTTACAATGATGAAACATTAGGAAAGGACCAAGGACCATGTTGTTGTCATGTGCATAAAAAGTCCCACTTCGCCGGTTCGATGTTCAGCAATGAATGAAAAAGCAAATGAGTAGGGAAATCAGGTTCATATCTAACCTATCCCTTTACCTTGATTTATCGTGGACAAAGTAGCAAGGTATCCAAAAGTTATCCGTTATCCCAAAGGTGGCACTTTGTTATTCACACTCTCTGAAACTCTTTACACTTCTACTTGATGTATCGAACTGGCGTGGAGACAGAGGCTGACAGGCCTTTTATAGATTTTGAGCTATCGGTGGTCCGAGGGTGGGGGAACGTCCCGCTCGTGAGGTAACGTACGCGTGGATGGGGTTGAGCCAGTCAAGATGAGTATTAAAGGTCGAGTAGTAGATGCTGTGCGCGCCGAGGGACATGGTGTCCGGCTGGGATAGAAGAGTGGGGGAAACACACGTGCAAGGCGAGGGAAAAGAGGAAAGGGAAAAGGGGGGGCCACCGCGACGGCGACACGCGTTCCAATTATCTGGGTCTCGAGCCGCCAGGGTCACAGGTCACACGTCAGTCAAAAGTACACCCTGTCAGAGACCCCGACCTTAACTAAACCTAATTGTAAGACAACACCTTTCTCATCAAATTCTTAGCGCGTATCCATTCAAGACGCCACTGAAATAAATACACTTTCCGTCATCCAACAGCACACTAGAGCCCCCCCCCCCCTCTTCTCTTTCTGTCGCCCGGGCCGAGCTCAGGTTGAGCTGAGGTGTGTTGGAGACGAATGATTCATTATATCTGGGCCCGGCTGCCGCTCTGCTGCCGCTGGGCCCCGCTGCGCCCGCTCACCTCGCGCTGCCATGGCGCCCGGTGCCCTCTCAATGGGGCCGTTGCCTCGCCTCGCCTCGCCTCGGCGCCGGCGCCTCTCTCGCCCAGGGATTTCCCTGCAGGGCAAAGGTCACGCAGGCCCAGCCCTCTCGAGTTCGTACCAGGTGCAGCTGCTATTCGCCCCGCCCATTTCCGCGATGCAAAACTGCACCGCCGTGCACGCGTGAATGTGGGTTGCCTACTCGCCTCGGGGCACAGACGTCTAGCATTGCGTGTCGGTACAGTCTTCGCTACCGAGCTAGTTCGAATTAAGACTCGTTTCAGTCGGCCATTCACACGTTGAGGCCCTCTCGTGGGCACATGGTGGCCATGCCTTGCTGGAAAAAGCCGCCCCACCTTATCTCTCAACGTTTTGAAATGAATTATGAATGATGTGACAGCCGAGGTGAGAATTTAAAGTGAAACCTTCGGGGCTGAAATTTAGTTCGAGGTACCAGAAATGTACCTGCTACGCTACTCCATGCGCCGGCGAACTTTCTGTCTGTCTCTCGCTCCTGTGTTTCTCCCCCCATTTTACACCTTCCTCTCCCTTCTCCACCTGGAGGAAACCTTAAAAACCCTTCCAGGAGGGAAGCCCTCGGCCGCACGGCGCGGTGCGCGCCAGCAGGTTCTTCCTTACCTTCTCGCACTCGCACGTGCGCAGTGGAGCGGACGGTCCTGGCGTCGCGTCGAGTGTAAAGTTCCTTACGATGGCGGGAGGGAGGTAAAGCTCGCTGAATGATTGCTGAAATTTGGCACTGCACTTTCACATCCACAGGTACTGCACACACACACACACGCACACACACACGGAACTGTTCGGTACTCGTTTGACAGTCGTCTCGGCACCAGCACGCGCAGCTGAGGCGCGGGGCGGACCAGCACCGCGCTGCTGCTGCACGCTCCACGGGGCGAGGGACCGGACTGAGCGCTGAGCCGCGGCGGCCGCGGTGGGGCCGGGCGAGAGGGGGGGTGAGGGGGTGAGGGGGTGCCTGCTGGAGCGGGGAGTCGGGGGTGGGAGGAAGACTGTGGGGCCGAGAGCGGGGCGAGCACGGCCACCACGGGGCGAGCGAGGCGAGCGCCACACCGGTCGATACACGGACAACAAAAGACGGTCGGGCAGCGGCAGCAGCAGCGGCGGTGGCGGCAGCAGCACCTACGGGAGGCGCCCTGGCCGCAGCAGCGGTGGCGACGGCGGCGCTGCTCTCACAACGACCCGGCACCACAACACCGGCTCCTCTCGCACCCCGCCCCGCCACGCCCCGCCCCGAGACGCGATATTATGACCGTATAATACATATATGTATACAGCGGGACAGGACACGGCCGCCGGCGACGCAAAGTAATAATAAACGTAAATGAGCGTGGCGACCGCGACGTGGAAGGCGCGCGGCGCGATGTGAGAGAGGCTGTGAGGGGTGCAGGGGCTGCACGGTGCAGGGGCTGCAGGGGGTGCAGGGCTGACGGCAGAGGGCCGCCGACGGCAGGCCGTCAGCTGTTCCCGCACAGGTCTCCCCTTCTATACTATGGACCGACGACGACGGCGGCGGCGTGGCTACCCCATATCAGCTAAGCGCTACCGTGGCGTCAGCTGTCCGAGACAACACCCCTCCAACACCCCACCACGTGTGTAGGTAGTACCACCCCCCTC